TTTTTTATTTTTATTTTTCTTTCCTTTACTTAGGACATTGTGTTTTTTTGAGAATAGATTAGCTTTCATTTCTACCGAGTACTTTTGATTTATTTGTTTTCTGGTCGTAATTTTGTTTTTACATTTCCTTCCTCACCTTAGTTTTGGCATCTAATTCTGTCATTTGGGTGGGATTAGTGTGTTAGTTGCATGAGCAAAATTGTATGATACAATATAAACAAATTAATAGTCTTGTGCTGAAGTGGCCAAAACACGGGACGGACCGGGCCAGCCCGGCGGGCTAACAGGCTCGGAATCATGGACATGGACCTGGAACTGGTACGGACTGACGCTCGTGCCGAGTCCATGGCATGGAGGGCCGGGCTGGGCCCCATCCGGGTCTGGGCCCGTGTAGATAGAGCAAAAAGAAAAAAAGAAAAAAAGAAATAACAAAATAAAATTTGTGGTTTTTTACCAACTCCGAAGAACTTTTACTAAACAAGAATATTCTCGCAATAATATTCACATTAATTTTTACAACTTTTCATTATTACCCATATTTATTTAACTTTACAAATTAGATTTTAAAATTGATTGAAATAACATAAAATAAAATTAATTGTAAAATAATAATTTATAAACATAAATCTACATACATAAATATATTTTTAATTAGAAAAAATAAAGCCTGATTTTGGTTTAAAATATATTGATTTACTCTATTGTTTTACGTTTTTCTATCACTAGTTTGACATTTCATTTTCTTATAAGGTTATTTTATATAAATTTAGTAATAATGTTTTCTTATAATATTGTTTGTATGAACATTTTTGACAATATTACTTTACATTTGTTGGATGAAATTTACTATCAACTGTACATACATAATATACAAATTTTCACCATAACAAATTTGATGTTTAATAAACACATAAACAAAAGTTTTTACATTTTTATTTTTATTTTTTAATGGCATCAAACACACTATTAGATTTTTTTAATGGCATCAAACACAAAAATTTAAGGGTTGATGGTTAGATTGGAAAAATACAAATGCAATTTTTGGAACTGAAGGCGAATTTGATTTTACTTGAGGAGAGAGAATGGTTCAAACACATTTTAGGTAGGCGTTTAGGCCACCTTCAGCCCTTATCTCTTCTCTAGCACGAACTTTACTCTACTCTAGAATATAAGTGAACATTCATCTCCAACCATTATCTTTACATTTTACTCTACATCAAATATATTATTTCTTTATTCATTTTTTATTTCAAATAAATTGGTATATATGCATATTTAATCTTATATAAAAAGTTAATTACTCAAATAATAAAAATGTTTTATTTATTTATTTTTATTTCAAATTGATATATTAATTTTATAAAAAATGTTTATTACTCAAATAATAAAAATATATTTTATTTATGTTTAAGTCATTTTTAATCTTGTTGTTTTTATTTGTGTTTATGATTTTTGTGTATTGTAAACATTTAATTTTGATGAAATAAACTTGTTTGAATGTGTTAAATATTTATTCATATGGTATCATTATGATATTAAAAAATTACAAAATAAAATTATATTACATCAATATATAAAAGGACAATTATTTAGCATAAAAATACATTGCACAAATTATTTAGCATAAAAAATACATTATTTATACACATTATACAAAAAAATTTCAATAATAATACACAAAAAAAAAAGTAGATCCATTCCTCTTATCTGGCGCAGGATTCTAGCGCGACATTGGAGGAGTTCTTCTCGCTACTCCAGCGCAAAAAGCCTCATCTGACGCAGCGCTGGAAGTGGTCTTACCATATTGGAGCAATTTTTTACTCATAATTTATGTTTTGCATGAGTTGATCATATCTCAATATTTTTGTATTATGAACTCTAGGCGGTCTTCTGACCTGTCCTACCTCTTTTTCAGCCAGTGGTTGTTTCTATTCAGCTGTTAGCTGCTTTGTATTTAGCCGGTGGCTGCCCATTGCACATTTGTGCTAGTAATATAACAACTCTATCGTTTCGGGAAAAAAATAAAAAAATAAAATTGAACTATTAATTGTTCTTTAGAATTTGATAGTATATTATTAGCAACTATGATTATTTTTACCATTATTTTTATTTTTATTTATTTCTATAATAAAATTCTTGTAAAATGTATTTTCATTCCCGAGTATTCTAAATAAACTATAAATCCTTATAATGCGAGTTAGAAAAATCTTGATTATAGAAGAGATTGAGTATTTGGCATTTTCTAAATTAGAGTTATTTAATTAGTATACAAAATTAAAATAAAAAAAAACACACGTGTGTAGATATTGTAAAATATTTATACACTATTTAATTTTAATTAATTTACATATTTCCAATTGATTACATAAATAAATAATACTTACGTGCAGTAAATTTTTTTCATTACATAAAATAAATAGAAAAATAAGACGTACAACTTCTATAACTTTTACAAATAATAATGACATTATATGACAACAAAGTTTATAATAAAATAATAATTAAGTATTATATGGTGAACAAGAATAAGTAAAACTGTTATTTTGTCTTGTATTAAGGAGTAAATATATATAATAAAATTAAATTTATATTAGTATAGATGTGTTAGTGAGATAATATATTAATTACTTTACAAGCTAGCATAATATGCTCATATTTAATGTTCTGGTAAAAAAAAAAAACAACACAAAAGGTGGAAATTATATTATAACTCTATTGGTTTTTTGACTTAATGTTGATTGATTAAAAAAAGTAGAAAATAAATAATAATTTATTATTTTTTACACTTAAACAAACAAAATTTATGAAAATAACTCATTTAATATCTTTGTCTCGCTCGCACACCGTATGTACTAGTTTTTATGCAACCCTTAAAAACAAGGCCAAGACAAAGGCTAAATCTAGAGAATTATTCAAACCTGCCAAGCCTCAAGTACCATCGTCGAAGCACAAAGTACGAGGCACCATATACCTATCTATCTGCTCCTGAAAATGGCAAAAAATAGCAAGTATAGTGTGGAAGTAGCTAAAAACAATTTGCCTGTATTTGGTGGCACACAATGGAACATCTATCTATATATATATATATTAGTACAACACTCGTGTATTACACGGTATTATTCTTAAATTTTAAAATTAATGAGAAAACTATATTAAATTTAGTTTACTTTTTTACAAAAAAAATATATTACTATATATTTTAGAATGATATGTGTTACTTATGACATACATGTGTTATATTATATTAGTTTTTATAACTTATATCATATAACTACTTGAAATATAAATATATTAGTTGATAAATCATTTTATTTTCTAATTAATATTAAAAATAATTTTATTATTGTTATAAAGATAAATATAAATTATTTTTTTTATACATACAATATGGATGTTAAATCGAAACTCATCAAAAGAAGATAAATTAGATATATTACATATGTAAAACTGATAAAAAATACAAAAGTTATTAACTAATTTAAAATACATATACAATTCAATAGTTATAATAAGGAATGATATTAAAATGCAATTAATGCATGTAACATGACCATAAATAATCAACATATTTATGGTAATCCGGACCTAATTATTTTTGGTTTGGAATTAAATTAAAATTTACCCAAGCCTAATAACGAAGCATATAATTTTGCCACACAGGATTCCGAAGCACCAGAAGCAGCCACGTAGGCTCAGCGCGTTCTGGATTAATATATAGGAGGGATAATTGTAGGCTATTACATTAATTTAATAACCTACATTTTTCCGCCCAAAATTTTGGCTCAATATGGTAAGTTTTAATTTCTTTTTACTTTTTGTTTATATCTTTAATTTTGTAATAAATATTATAATATTCAATAAAAAATGTAACAGTTATGTTTTAAAAACTAATTTAATGTGTTATTGTTATATTGTTAATGATAACAAATATGATGTAACCATTACAATATAATATTTAATAAAAAATGTAACAGTTATGTTTTAAAAACTAATTTAATGTGTTATTGTTATATTGTTAATGATAACAAATATGATGTAACCATTACAATATAATATTTAATACCTATT